TGGCCCTCTCCCCCCCCCCCCCCCCCGGTTTGGCCATATTTGTGTAAGAAACCGATGGCTTCCTTATGAATTTATAGAACTGAAAGCAATTCATTGCTTGGAGCAATTCGTTCTCGATGTCATTTGGGGGCATATTTTTTTCCTCCCTCCTCCTCCTGCTCTTTCTGCTATATCTATTTTTTTAAGCAATCAATTCCTGCACCATTTCTGCAAACCTCCCCCCCCCCGCCCCGCCGTCCGCCTTTTGCTCCTTTCCCCCTCTTCGGCTTTAAGGTCTTAAGCTCAAAGATTGGAAGGAAAAGACCGAGCCGAGGAGTGCAATCTCTTGGGGGGATTTATTCCTTTCCAATCTCGATTTCTCCTTAAATGCACGCTGGCTTTCCTTGAAAATGTCAGAGAGGCCGGGGACGGAAAGGATGGGGGCAGCAGGGAGGAAGAGGACAAGACACGTCCTGGGCCCCTCGGAGTGACGGAGGGCAAAGGCTGGTCCGAAAGGGGGGGGGAACTTCTGCTCCTGCCACCCCAAACTCGACAATATCTGGAAGAAGAGTTAATGAAGTTCCCGGCAATCAAAGAAGAGGCCGAGGATTCGTAGGTTGCAAGCCATTTCTCGTAAGGCAGAAACTGGGTCAAACAGGGGTGAACAGTGGGCGTCTTCCCTGTTAAGCCCCGCTGGGTCTGAGCAAGAAAATCAGCCTTTCCTGAGACAATTTCACCTCTACGATAGCACGGCCCGATTTCGATGTATATATATTCTTCCCGGGACAGGTGGTGGTTTTCGAATGTTAACAACTGCAACCGATTTATGCCCCAGTCCGACTTTTGATGCCGGGCTGGCCAATTGTTGCAAATTGGCAAGGAAACGATTCACAGCCGGAATGATGGGGGCCCAACGAGGACGCATCTCGGAGGGAGGCTGCTCTGAACTTGGGCGAGATCTTCCTTTTATCAGAGGCCACAGTCTTTTGGGATAAGGAATCGCTTTGGGAACAGAGCGGACAACCTCCTGATCTTTATACACAGGTTGTCATGTTGCTGTTGAGCGGTGTGCTGGCCCAGGGGTGACCAGCTAACGGTGACCCTAACAATGGATTCCCTTGACGGTCTTGTGGATTTTGGGGCCCACGGAGATCAACAAGGAGCGGTTTCCCATGGACACCTGCCAGTGTGTCTCCAGGGTGTGTCTCCAGGGCTGGGCAGGGATTCGAACCCAGCTCTCCTGAGTCCTAGTCCAATATATCCCTCACTGGCTGTCATTATATGTATATACATTATATGTACAACATGCACTTACATACATATGCAAACATGCAAATGAGAGAATGGATAAGACAGATAGATAGGATCATAAAAAGATAGACAATATACATATATGTATATACATTGCACGGCCCTCTTACCACAGCTGAAGAAGTTGATCCATAACTGGGGCAAAATTAAT